GGAGGTTTTGGTTTCCTGTATTACAGCCTTCAACTCTAACAGCTCCACTTGTTTCTTTTTTTATGGTGTATATTTCCTCTTTCAGATCATGGAAGGACTTCCTCACCTCTTGGAAATCATCGGCTCTTTTCTCCTGTGTATTCTGGAGTTCATTGTCTCTCTTCTCTTTCATCTCTGTTAGCTTTATCACTATGAATATTCTAAATTCTTTATCTGGTGTTTCTATGAGTTCCATTATACTGTCTGTGGATGAAGAGGAGTTATTCTTTTCCCTTGAAGGAGAGGTATTTCCTTGCTTTCTCATATTTCTTGTGCCCCTGCAGTGATTTCTGGTCATCTGATGGGTTGTGTGTTTCTTCCTAATTCTTGAAGCTCAATCTGAGCATTCAGAGGCATTCTTGAGGAGGTGATCTGCAATCAGTCTTTTGTTCTGTTTTTCATTCTCTGTGCATTAGATTCAGTGGGAATTGAGGAATATTATACCCTAATAATAATCAGATGTTTGGATACTGTTTACGTAAACCAGTCTAGACATTCAGTGCGTGGAGACTGAGCAACCAATGGATGAAGTTAAATAAATAAATAAATAAATAAAAAGAAAAGAGAAGAGGAAAGAAGAAAAACAGAAAAAGACAATAATAAATTTTTATATTTTAACTTTAAAAGACAAAAAATGAAAGTTTTGCACACACCACACAAAAGCAATATTTCACAGCTGAAGTTCAGTAGCCATCTCAGAATGGGCCTGGGTTTGTGCCTCTCCTAAATGGGAGGGGGAAGGGGAAAATGCACGAGTTAGCAAGATAAAGGGGGGTACTTGAGAGCCCAGAGAATATTTTACCTTAAAAAACATTTTTTTAATTAAGAGGTCCAGGGAGACAGAGAGACAGAGAGACATAGAGATAGAGAGAAGGATGCAGAGGTTGCCCTACCAATCTAAAAATTAATCTGGAGGGAGAAGTCTCAGCAGAAATCTTCATTTTCAGTCAATAAAAGCAGTATTTCACAGCTGAAGTTCAGTAGCCATCTCAGAATAGGCCTGGGTTTGTGTTTCATGTCTTAAGTGTGATACTGGCTTTGGGGTTGAGTTGGTTTTATTTTATTTATTCATTGTTTTTGAGAGGTTTTTGCTTTAGAGCGTGTGTGTTTGCCAGAAAGACAGAGAGAGACAGAGAAACACAAAGCAAGAAATCACCCCCCAGGGGGGATGGCCACACTGCAATCCCTTCTCCTTCATTCTACTCTCAGGATCTTGGGCGAACACGTGCACGTGCCCAGCGTGAGTTTAAGCCACTGGGTCTGGCACTCGAACTGCGGTCAACTACATGGGAGTCCAGCGACATAGCCATTATGCCAACTACTGGTCTCCAGAGTTGTTTTTATTTTAAAATGTTAAGTGAGTAGCAATCTATTTCTATTTTATTGTGAGGTTTTGAAAATCAAAATGTTGAATATAGTTGAATTCCTTTTTAGCATCTATGAAAAGGATCACAGAACCTCTCTTTACATCTGTTAGTATTATAAAACATATTCATAAATGCCCTAATTTTGAACTAAAGTTACATTCCTGAAACAAATCCCACATATTTATTGTAATAGGCAGGGTAGGGGTCAGAGGAGTTAGTGTATTATTAAAATGCTTTGTTAATATTTTATTTGGGGGTCTTATATTAGCATTCGAAGTGATAAACTATGCTTTTCTTTCGAGCTAATTATGTACACTTTGTAAAAAAAATTGAGTTTTCTTTTATATTCTTGAATAATTCAATTATCATTACTAATTCTGCTGACATTTCTGAACATGAAGCTTTTCACTGCAATTGAAGGATACTTCCTTCTCTACTTTTTCTATGGTAGTCAGTCTGTTTAGATTTTCTTATTGTTCTAGAATAATTTTACTGAATTACATCTTTATAAAAACTATCCATTTCTTTGGTTAGAGTTTACAAAACAGAATTTTAAAGTTTTTAAATTTCCCATGGTTATTTTCTTCTTGTCACATTATTTATGCTTTCTTACTTTTTATTCATGATTAAGTGACTCATTTTAAAAAGTATGTTGGTTTGGGACCAGCAGTTAGCGTAATGGCTATGTCGCTGGACTCCCATGTAGTCGACTGCGGTTTGCGTCCCGGAGCCGGTGGCTTAAAACACACCAGGCGCGTGTGCGTGTGTGCCCAAGATCCCGAGAGGAGACTGGAGGAGAAGGGATTGTGGCGTGGCCATCCCCCCGGGGGGTGATTTCTCACTTTCTGTCTCTCTGTCTCTCTCTGTCTGTCTGGCGAGCGCACGCACCCTATAGCAAAAACCTCTCAAAAAAAAAAAAAAAGTATGTTGGTTTTATGAGGATAGAGACTGTCCTCAATTTGGATTATTTCTTTTTTCTCTCTGTTTTTTAATTTACTACTATTTCCCTGCTTTAGGTTTTAGATTTTAGGTTTTCTTTTTTCTCGTTTTTTGGAAGCCTTTTACCTTAGGATGCGTGCACTTGCCCAGAGCAAGAGAAAGAGACAGCGAGAGGGAAAGTGAAAACTCATCTTTTTGATGCCATAGTAAAATCAATGGCTTCTGAACAGTTTTTGTTTGTTTGTTTGTTTGGTTGGTTTTTTTTTTTAAGGCTTCTGCTGGGGAAAGGTACATGTCTTGATTCATGGTTGTTTGTTAGTATTTTTTATTTTTACTTCTCTGTAATTGATGCTTAAAGACTACAAAAACAGCTTGCCTGGGTGATATCTCATTCAGTCCTGCCTCCTCTGCTTCTTGAATCTAAACTGAAACCAGAAAAGACCATACCACCAACCTGTATGTGTACTGAATTGTCATTTTTATAAATAAAGAATTTTCTTGAAAGTTTTGGTGACCCTGGGGCCATAAGTGGCATGGAGGTTAAGGTGGCTGGATCCCACAAGCTGAATCTATAGTCCAAGTACCAGACCCAGCAGCTTGAAAATAACACCAGGCATGTGTGTGTGCATTCCCAAATCCTGAGAGGACAAGGGATTGTAGCATGGCCACCCCCAGGGAGTGATTTCCCACTTTTCCTCTCTCTGTCTCTGTCTCCTTCTAGCAAGCACTCACATCCTATAGCAAAGAAAAAATAAGAAGAATTTTGGTTGCCATATCCCTAGACAGTGCGATCAGTCATGCTACATGGCATCTCTGATTTCTGGGATCTCTTTCATCACACCTGCCCCTAAATAACACTGCCTAAGGTCAAGCATTGATCACCCACTTCTGTTACCAGACTCCAACTGCCTCCTGTCCTCTATTTCCAGTTTATTCTGTGCAAGGGAATGACATGACTCTGAATGAAGCTCTATCCCTGACTATTCTATGGGTATTAGAGACATTGACATTTTTTAACCCAGAACTCAACACAAAATCTGAAACACTTAATATGGATTTTAACTGCATGTTTGCATAATTTGAGGGCATCTTAAGCTGATATTTCATTGCTCAGTCTACCATACCATACCCTGACTGAATCAAAGAAAATTGGAAGACCAGTGACTGTGCAATGCAGAATTCTAATTTTACCTGGATCCTACCTATATGTAGCAGCAACCAACACACAACTCATGCTTGTAACTTTGATTTTAAAAAGGAGTAATTATAATATAAACAAAATAAATCATTCTAAGTTAGGTTGCTATTCAAAGTCCAGTGAAACGGTTTAAGTAACAGCAAGAACACTAGCAATTTACTGAATAAGAAATATTGAATATATGTTTCAGAATACAATCCTTTACCTTGGAGAAATGTACTTGACTGGTCTTTCTGACGTCTGCAGTTATGGATATCTTCTTTCTGATATTTGCCACAACTTCGCTTGATCTTCACTATTTCTAGGAGCCTTGAAACCTAGGTAATGTTTTAAAACAAATTCTAATTTCTCTGGAAATATGAGTTTTTCTAGTGTAAAACCTTCTTGTTGGTCTATGGTTCTATGAGATCTTTTTTTTAGATTCTACATGTAAGTGGAATCATATGGTATTTGTCTTTCTGTGCCTGGCTTATTCACTGAACATCATATCCCACAGTTCCCCTAAAAGAATAGATTTTTAAGATTCTCACCACAAATATATAAAAAGTTGATGAGTTGATGGATATGCTAATTAGCTTGACTGAATCATTCTATAATATATATATATATATACACATATATAAATATATATATGGACCAAACATCACACTGGCATAATGGTTACATCGCTGGACTCCCATGTAGTCGACTGCAGTTCAAGTCCCAGCCTAGGCAGCTTAAAACTCATGTCAGCTATGTGTGCATGCATGCCCAAAATTCCAGGAGGACAATGGAGGAGAAGGGATGGCAGGATGGCCATCCCCCCTGGTGTGTGATTTCTTGATTTCTGTCTCTTTGTAAATTAAAAATATTAAATTTTAAACTATTGTGCTTTAATTTGGGGGTGATTCCTCAGAGAAAAAGGGAAATTTCATCTTAATCTCACTATATTTGAAGAGAAAGTCTTTTCATTTTTGTCAAGTAAATTTTATTGTGTATATTTAAAGTTTACAAATGATGTTATAAAATGCACATTTATAGCAAAATGGCATAGCAACTATAGGATATAGGAAAATGAATGAACATTTTCATCATCTGAAATAATTATCCATTGTCCCCCATGTGACAGAGCAGTTATAATCTACTCATTTAGCAAAAATCCTAAATACAGTACACTATTCTTAACTATAGTCTTCATGTTTACATTAGATATTTTATATAAATTCATTTTCCCAAGTATTCTATCCTTTCAGTTAGAGAATGGAAAGGAGGAAATGGTAATGGTACTAAGTATCTAAAGTAGGAACAAGGTAAAGGCACTGAGGTGATCAACAAGTGAGGTATGGCCTGGGAAGTGGGAAAATATTCACCTAGGCAACTATGCACTTACCACAGGGTTTGGAACTTAAATCATTTAAAATGTTTATGTTGAGTAAGTGAATTGATTGGACTGATAAATCTACTTCTAGGATATTTCCTCACAAGAGCTCATGGATCCAGAAGCTGGAACTAATAGGACAGCTGTTGCTGAGTTCATTCTACTGGGCTTAGTGGAAACAGAAAAACTACAGTCTCTGGTCTTTGTACTCTTCCTCTTGGCCTACCTGGTCACAGTTGGTGGCAACCTCAGCATTCTGGCAGCCATCCTGGTGGAGCCCAAACTCCACACCCCCATGTACTTCTTTCTGGGGAATCTATCAGTGCTGGACGTTGGATGTATCACTGTCACTGTTCCTCCCATGTTGGGTCGTCTCCTGTCCCACAAGTGTACAGTTTCCTATGATGCATGTCTCACTCAGCTCTTCTTCTTCCACCTTCTGGCTGGTATGGACTGCTTCCTGTTGACTGCCATGGCCTATGACCGATTCCTGGCCATTTGCCGGCCCCTCACCTACAGCACCCGCATGAGCCAGACAGTTCAGAGGATGTTGGTAGCTGGACCCTGGGCATGTGCCTTCACCAATGCACTGACGCACACTATAGCCATATCCACACTCAACTTCTGTGGCCCCAATGTGATCAATCATTTCTACTGTGACCTCCCACAGCTCTTCCAGCTCTCCTGCTCTAGCACCCAACTCAATGAGCTGCTGCTCTTTGTAGCAGCAGCCTTCATGGCTGTCTCCCCCTTGGTCCTCATCACTGTGTCCTATGCCCATGTGGTGGCTGCTGTGCTACGAATCCGCTCTGCCGAAGGAAGGAAGAAGGCCTTCTCTACATGTGGCTCCCACCTCACTGTGGTGGGCATCTTCTATGGAACAGGAGTCTTCAGCTACATGAGGCTCAGTTCAATAGAATCTTCAGATAAGGATAAAGGGGTTGGGGTTTTCATGACTGTCATCAACCCAATGCTGAACCCACTTATCTACAGTCTCAGAAACCCTGATGTACAAGGTGCTCTTTGTCAGGTACTTGTGGGAAGACGATTACTGACCTGAGCAATGATAGGGTTTCTTCTCTTCTGCCTTTTCTGGATTGAAGAAGATTTCCCATAAAGGCAATAATCAGGAAAACAACTGGTCCGCAACCATTTTTTCTATTTCCTGATGCCTGAAAATTGGTGTTACATGTATTGTCTCACAAGGAAACCATACATAATTTATTCATTTATTCATCAAACAAATATTTATTCAATTATTTATATGATCCATTCAATCTTCTAGGACACTAGTAAATAAAATAGCCAAAAGTATACATTCATAAAATTTATATGCTATAGAAGTAGTCAAAATAAATAAGCATTGTATATAGTATATCACATGGCGATAAGTGCTATAAAGTAAGACAAAGATAAAGAATATGAGGTTAGGGACCAGCAGTTAGCGTAATGGCTATGTCACTGGACTCCCACATAGTTGACCACGGTTCAAGTCCCGGACCCAGTGGCTTAAACTCACACCGGGCACGTGTGCATGCGTGCCCAAGATCCCGAGAGGAGACTGGAGGAGAAGGGATTGCGGCGTGGCCATCCCCCCTAGGGGGTGATTTCTCATTTTCTATCTCTCTGTCTCTCTCTGTGTGTCTGGCGAGTGCATGCACCCTATAGCAAAAAATTCTCAAAAAAAAAAAAAAAGAATATGAGGTTAGATACTGCTAAGCAAGTCTCTTGTGCAATTACCTACCTTGTTTTTAGCTGTGCCTACTTTCTGGGTGGAGTTGAAGCCTTGAGAGCTCTATAAACCTGGAAAGCAATGCCCTATAGGGGAGCGCCATGTGGTGAGCCACAGCCAAAATAACCAAGAATTATCACTGCAAAGTTTCCTTCTAGTAGAGATATAAGATTCCTTCCATACTTTTTAAAACTACAGCCCAGTGCCAAGGTCTGTTTCATTCTATTGCCTTTCATCTCCAATGTCAGATTCTTCTCTTAACTACTCATCAGATGTTTAGAGGACAGGGAAGGTCTTAAGAAGGAAAGAGCCCACTAAATAAAAATTGTGTTAATGAATATGTGATATATCTTAAGTTCTAAAATGGAAGATTCTATCTTTATCCCCTGTCATTTCTTTTTCTCTTGTTTGGTAAGTCATTTTCCTTGCACATCTCATAAAGTCTTTGAAAAGAGAAACATTAATACTCCATCTAAGTCCTTAAAATTTTTGTTGTATATTATCCAATATTACCTGTCATCTCCTCTGGAACCTTATTTATCTCAGCCAAACCTCCTTGCTCAGAACATACATATTTATATATGAAGACCCTAGGAATGATTCCTCATTCTCTTTTTATTTTATTTTATTTTATTTTATTTTATTTTATTTGTAGTACATCAGTATAGCTTCAACTTAGCATTTCTTCATCCTGATGTTTATGCAGCCTTCAGCTCATTAATCCTTCTCTACAAGGACCTGGGAAGGCTACTTATACTGTTCTGGCAATGCTACTGTCCCTCTTCTGTATCATTCTTAAAACTGTCTCATGATGGGGCCAGCAGATGGCACAGTGTTTACATCACTGGACATCTACATGCCCAACCCTGGTTTGAGTCCCAGATCTGGTGGCTAGAAACTCATACTGGACACGTGTGCATGCGTGCCCAGGATCTCAGGAGGAGAATGAATTGTAGTGTGACCATCCCCTCAGAGAGGGGGTTGATTTCTCACTTTCCCTCTCACTGTCTCTCTCTCTCTCTTTCTAGTGAGAGCACACACCCTAAGGCAAAAACCTCTACAAACAACAAAAAAAGACAAAACAAACAAACAAAAACGCTGAAGTTTGGTTACCTGTGATCTCATCTTGAGGTGAAGGAGCAAGAGAATGGACTGAGATAAAGATGCAAAGAAAAGATGTGAGGCTGTGAGGTAGGACATGATGGGGATAGAGCAATGAAGATGAAATATGAGGCCATAGTGTGATATGGAACAGGATGGGGAGAAAAGGGGAGTAAGAATGAAGAGTAAAAGTGGGGAAAAGCATGAAGATAGGACTAACTGATGGCATAATGGTTACGTTGCTGAACTCCCACGTAGTCAACTGTAGTTATAGTATCAGACTCCGTAGCCTAAATTTCACACCAGGCATGTGTATGTGTGTGTCCAAAATCCCAAGAGGAGAATGGAGTAGAAGGGATTGCTGTGTGGCCATTCCCCACTGAGGAGTGATTTCTTGCTTTCTGTCTCTGTCTCTCCAGCGAGCTCACACACCCTATAGCAAAAATCTCACACACACACAAAAAAAAAAGGATATGATAAGAGAATAGGACAGAGGTGAAGTTCATCTCTTGTCTGATACTCTTGGGTCTTCAGAGTGAAAGAGCTTGAACTTCCTCAAAGAGCAAATTCTTGTGAACAAAAACCAGGGGCGTGGATTGTAATCACAGAATCCTTACTCATCCACAGCCTTGTGGAAAGGTCTTTACCATGTTTCCACCTATACCATGAGGAACTGGGACAAGATCATCTCTCTACAGTTTTTCACATTAGTGACCTCTGATTTTAATAGTCTGACTGAATTTTTCCCCAGTTCTAAATACAGCAGAAAAAATTTGAGCACATTACCACCATTCCCACCACTATCTCCACCCCATGAACATTTAACACTACAACTAATCTATTATATTATGTCAAAAGATCCACAGGCTTTGGCATTGCTTTTTCCTAAGCATTCATCCCTGTCCTGTGTTCTGCCTATCCCCCAAAACCAAAGGTTTCTTTAACAGGGAAGAAGTTGTATTGCCTTTGGTATTTCTCTCTTTGTGCCTCCAAATGTAGACATATTATTTAAAAATTATTCAGAAATGGTGGACCAGTAGATGGCATCGTGATTATGTCACTAGACTCCCACATGACCAACAGTGTTTCAAGTCCCAGACCTGTAGTCTTACATTCTACCACTTTCCTTCTCTCTCTATGGTGAGCTCATGTGTCCTATAGCAAATTAATAAATAATAATGACAATAAATAAGAAATAATTCTTTAAAAAATCATCCAGAAATGTACTGACAGCAAAAATATTCAGATGATAATAGGAAATAGTAATCCAGGTGTCCCTTCACTGCACCAAAAATACCATTATTCAGAGTTAAATCATCTTTAAAATTTTGTAATTATTCCTCCAGAGATTTTATGTATATATGACCTGTAGATTTTATATAATTAGAATCATTCTGTGGGGTTTTTTGTTTTTCCTACACATTATGCAATACAATATTTTACATGACAAAGCTAGTATTCTACCTGTTTTAATAGGAGCACAATATATCATCAAGCATATAAACCATAATGTATTTAATCAAACCTCTATTTATTAATTGGGGTGGTATCCAATTACTTTTCAGTAACAATGTTGTTATGTTGAGTATCCTTACAAAATTCTTTCCAAATTCCTGTAATCGTTTCTCTAGGATTAATTCCGATGAGCCATTTTATCAGATTTAATAGAAATTTTGAGATATGTATGTGCACATACACACACACACACACACAATCTTAATTTCCAAAACTTTCAACCCAACCTATTCATTTATTAAGTTAGGATAATGTCTACTTACCCATATCTCTGCCATAAAGGGTTTTGTTTTTTAGTTTTTTTATTTATTTTGCCATGAGCAAGAGAGACAGAAAGAGCAGGAACCCCACAGAGATCTGAGATTGAGGTCCACCCCCAGCCTCAACCAGACCAGATCATGGCTACATGCTTCCCAGTGTACTCAGAGATATCTCCAGACACAAATCAGCAATCTTCTCACGAAAGTCAGTCACCCACTTTCTTCCATTATACCACAGAGTTATGTAAATAAATATCTTCAAGTTTTACAATATAAAGATTGAGACATCAGTCTTTTAATTAGAATTATATTCATTATTCATTTATATTTCTTCTATAGGAATTGTATTTTTATATCTCTGCCCTCATTTCCATTGGATTGTTTTTTAATAGTTATTTAAAAATCTTAAGGTATTATAGTTATCAGTTTTTTGTTATGTAATTTACAAATATTTTTCCCAGCTTGCCATTTATCTTTCAATTTTATGTTTTACAAAATAGACATTTTATATTTTTAGGTAAACAATCTGTGTTTTCTTATAATGCTTCTTCATTTTTTCTATAGAACAAGGAAGCATTGTCAAAATACGTGATTTAGTGGTCAGCAGGTAGTGTGGTATTTAAGACATTGGACTACTACATGGTCAACTGCAGTTTGAGTCCCAGACCCAGCAGCTTGAAAATTGCACCAGGCATGTCTGTGAGCATGCCCCAAATCCCAAGAGGAAAATGGAGGAGAAGAGATTGAAGCATGGCCATCTCCCCTGCGGGTGATTTCTCACCTTTTCTCTCTCCATTTCTGTCTCTCTTCAGCAAGCGCACACACTTTATGGCAAAAACCTTTAAAAATATATGATTTAGATTATTTTTATTTATGTTCCATTGTAATACATCTCCACAACACATAATATAGTTTTTCAATATATAATGTAATGCAGATTCATGTTTACTGAATCGTCTTAGTTTTGTCTCTCTCGTTGAATGCATATTTTCTATCTGTAACACACAAGGTAGAATAAGTTATGTTGCATAAGAAACAGCCCCAAAGTCTCAGGAGTTTACAATAGTCTGAGGCTAGAGGGAAGGAAACAAAGTGTTTGTTTCTACTTTCATTCCCCACTATATATAACACTTCTGACACCAGATGTGTGAAAGTACTTCCCCACACACCAAGCAAGCAATTCTGTAGCTTTTAAGTGAACACAAACTGAATGTCCTACAACTTGATTAACTCAATTCTGAGACAGTCAACCTGAAGATAGTGTCAGAGCCCATTGGTGGAGTGCTCAGTCCCACAAGACAGCTTTCATTTCAGAAACCAGTTGCAAGCATCTGTGCTTCTGACCATGGCTATAAATTGAGGTTCTCACAACTCCCTTCTTGAATTCCATTAGTCTGCTACAATGGCTCATAGGACTCAAGGAAATGCTTTACTTACATTTATCTATTTATT